GGAGCTGAGTGACCACCAAGGAGCCTATGGGCAGGGGCTGTTCAGGCTGGAGAACTGGAGACCCAATCCGTGCATCAGTGGGAGCAGGCCCCAGGCCGTTGGCGCTGGGGAGTGGTGACTTAAGTAGGGAGGTACCATCTAAGACAGTGGTTCTCCACCTTCCTCATGCCTCAACCCTTTCATACAGTTCCTTATGTGGTGGTGACCCCCCAACCATTGGGGGGTTGCTACTTCATCACTGTCATGTTGCTACTGTTATGAATCAGGCAACCCCTGTGAAAGGGCCATTCGACCCCCAAAGGGGTCTCGACCCCCAGGTTGAGAACCACTGATCTAAGGCATCTACAGTCTCACAGGGAAGACACAGTGTCCAACAGAAACATGTGATCCACACACTAAGCCACCTTTTACATTTTAATTCCCCAGCTGTCTCACATTAGAAAACAGGGGGGAAGACAGGTGGGATTAATTTTAATAGCATTTTATTTAACCCCATACACGAAGACTAGGATTGTTTCAACCTCAGCATTACGGAGCTGCTGTTTGCGTTCCAGGCTGTCTGTGAAAGCTGGGTCTCTTTCACACGGATAGCACATCTGAATCTGCACCCTCCCGCTTGACAGCCACATGGGGCCACTGGCTGCTGTACTGGACCATGTAGATAATGTGGGGACAGCCACTTCCACTCGCTCACGGAAAGCACAGCAGGCTCCGGGACCTGGGAGAAAGGTATCAACTCTTTCTGGGTCCATTTCTGTCCGGTGTTGGCTGCTCTACTTCCTGGGTGTGGGAGGTAATCTGGATGGCAGGCTGATTCCTGGGCTCTGGCTCCCAGACTTCGGGTGCCGGAACCCCTTGTCTGCCCGGCCTTGCCTGTGGCCGTGCGTCACCAAGAAGCACTTGGTTGTACAGAAAGCTCTTTCATCCCCGCCTTCTCATTGAAGCCTCCTTCTGCCCCGGGAATAAGCAAAGGTGATTGTTGTCCCCACTTGACAGATTTCAAAGATGGAGTCTCCGAGGAATTAGATGACTTGTCCATCGGGACTCAAAGTTGGACTCTCTGATTCCAAAGCCTCGATTATTTCCATGAGCCCGTGTCTCAATGTTCGGGAACATGGAGGCCCCAAAGAAGAAAACCGTGTTAGTCAACGAAGGTGTCCTGGGAGGTGGGATGGGGGCGGGCGGGCAGGGGTAGTATATGCACTTGGCTCAAGCATCCCTCAGAGGTCTTCATATTTAGATACTCAACTGGTGCAGCTGATCCCTCTGAGCCCCCGTTTTCTCATCTGGACAGTAAGCTATCTCCGTACAAGGGAGCTGTAAGGAATGGATGAGAGGAATATTAGTAAGAGTCGCAAGGGATCGATCCTTCAGTCAGAACCTCGAGTCTAAGCTAAGCCAAATACAGAGTCCTTCGACCTCAGCCTGGACGTGACCAGGTGTCCACTGCCCTCCCCCTGTGCTGCCCACATCATGTCACCTCTGCCTTCCCCAGGCTGCTGCTCTGCCCACAGATGCCCCCCACCCAGCCCCTGCTCCAAGTGGCCCCAAAGAGCAGGGGGCTGCAAGGGCATTTCTCCTACCTGGCCCACGGCTGCCTTGCCTCTGGGCTGAGCCCCGCCAGCACCTAAGGACCATGGGAATCACTTAGCAATTGAAAAAGCCAGACCTTTGCCCTGGCCCCCCATCACAGGTGATGGGGTTAATCGGGAATTCTCTTTCCCTCACTCAGGGCTGCTGGCAGGGGTCCAGCTCCCCCATGACCTGGGGACACATTAGGCAGTGATAAGTGGGTTTCCAGACCTTTTATCCTGTTTACAATACACTGGCTTTCCTTGGACGGAGCCCTGTCCCTCTGCCTTGCTCCTGGCTGTTATGGCTACACGAGACAATTTGCTGATGGACTCTCCTTGGAGACCCCTCCCCACCCCTCTAACACCCGGGGCCACATCACTTCACGTGGTGGGTTCTGGGGGGACTCAACTCCTGGCAGCTCTTCATTCTGAAATAGCACCCTTTCTGTCTGCTCAGCTTGATGCCGACAGGGAACAGGCGAGGGGCAGCAGTGAGATTAGGTTGCTCAGGCTTGCCTGGGGATGTGACCAGGGCTGCCATGGCTGCCCGACGCAGAAGTGACTCAAAGGGTTCTATTTATCTGTGCAACAGTCACCCTCACATGGCCACAAGGTCCTTGTTGGGTAGGAGAGTCAGGCCGATGTGGCAGCTGCCTGGAGGAACGTGATGGCAGCTGGTCCTCCATCGCTAACAGGTGAGTTTCGGTGACGAACACTCTCGTTTCTCTGAAGTCAGCGTCCGTGTCTAGAAAACGGGGATGGTGCTGCCTGGCCTGCCAGCCTCCAGGTGGCTGTGAGCACGGAATGACAGAATCCATCAGGGACATCTTCTCTTGTATTCCACACTCCGCGCTGATTTTGACTGACAACTCTTACAGCAAGCATGGCCTCCCTGCTGCTGGAAGTTTATAATTGCCTCAACGTCAACTTTGGAATATTTCTGGACTTCCCAAGTGTCAAGCAGTTCAACTATGAGGGCAGTGGGCTCATTAAATGGAATGCATTGCAAGGTGACAGATATATTACAAGCATCGGCCTTGTGGCAGGCACTGAGCTGGATGCTGGGAAAAGGCAGGGTGGAAAGACATATCCGCTGCCTCCGGATGGCTCACTGTCTGGCAGAGGAAGCGGGCTGGTGGACAGAGAATTGGGACCCCTGTGGCCAGTGCTGAGCTGGAGCACCCGGGGCTCAGGAAGCACAGGGGAGAAGAACCGCATGATAACATAGCCGTACATTTTCTTGCATTACTACCTTCGCTTTGTGGTCTGTGTCTCCCAATAGAGAACGGACTACTTGAGGTCAGGTAGCTATTGCTGCACCTGTTGCTGCTGTTGTTAAATGCCACCGAGTCAGTTCCAACCCACAGTGACCCTATGCACAACAGAGTGACACCGTCTGGTCCTGTGCTAGTCTCACAGGGGTTCCTGTGCCTGCGCCCAGTGCGGTAGCCACTGTGTCCACCCACCTCGTCGAGGGCCTTCCTCTTTTGCACGACCCCTCCCCCCACTTTACCAAGCATGATGTCCTTCTCCAGGGACGGGTCTCTCCTGACAAACCTGTCCAAAGTAGGTAAGACAAAGCCTTGCCACTACTTGTCTGTCATACTGTGGTGGCTTGTGTGTTGCTGTGATGCTGGAAGCTATGTCACTGGGATTTCAAATGCCAGTAGGGTCACCCAAAGTAAACAGGTTTCAACGGAGCTTCCAGACTAAGGACTGGGCTGGCCACTAGAGAGGAAGTAGCCGCTGATGACCTTGTGCATAGACGCATAACACAGGACTCCCAAATTTACTGGCTTAAGACATAAGATAGTTTCTTATATCTCTTGATCTGAGATAGGAATTCAGACAGGGATTCCATTGGGCGATTCTTCGGTTCTATATGGCGTCTATAGAGGTCAGTTGGTGGAATTCGGCTGGTGGAAAGCCTAGTTTGGAGGGTACAACATGGCTTCCCTCATGTCTGGTGCCTCTGTGAGAATGGCTGGAGGACTGGGCTCAACTGGAACTATTGGCTAGAGGACAACACGTGGTCTCTCCAGCATGGTGGCCTCAGGGTGGTCAGCCTCAGGGCTCTTAGAGTTAGTGTACCACGAGGCTGGGTGGAAGCTGCAAAGATCTTGTTATGACTTAGCCGTGGAAATCCCTGAAGTTCACCTCTGCCACATTCAAGCAAGTCACTAGGGTCAGCTCAGAGTGAGAGGAAGTGGAATTCCTCCATTAGGTCATCATCAATGAAACATAGTCATAATCTTTGAGTCTTTGGAAACCAGTATTCATGGGAAGCATGAAGGTTACAGCAACCTCATAAGGAATGGTATAATTAGCATGGAATGACATTAGGTACTGGAGAAGCAAGCAGCTCTATCTAGTTCAATGCAAGCTGGTTCTGAAGAAGCATGGCAGTGTAATTAACAGCATTGCTACCTTACCTCCAGTGCCTGTGTCTGGCACAGAGTAGGATAAATGGGAAAATGTTAGGGAAAGAAATGTACATGGGTGGACAGTCTTGGGGCACAAAACTGGGTGGGTTCCAGGATACAGGAAAATGGAAGCATCGACTTGTCAAAGGAACAGGAGCCTCTCCTCCCTTGAGAAAGACAGCTGATAAGCCTGGGAGGATGGAAATTGGCTAGGTGAGTCAGGCCTCTGGAGAGAGCCAAGTGTCCAGATGCTTCCATTTCCAACTTTCCTTTGGAGAGCCTGATTCTCCCACCAGCCCGACTCCGACTTGGCTCAATCTGTGGATCTCTGTGCACTGTCTACCTCGTAGAATGGTTTTCGTATATAAAGTCATTTTCTTTCCTAGATTGCGATCTCTGAGGGTAGGAGGGGCTGGTTCCCCCCACAGTACACAATATCATACTCAAGTGAACGCAGGTTTATGGGATGGGTATATGGAGAGAGTGGCCGGGCAAAATTAAGAGAGAAGCTTGGGCCCGGGATTCCCGGGAACAACGAAATCTCTTGAAGCACAAGCAGTCCGTTTAAGGAAAAGCGCCCCATGGA